ACATGAGATGTGTACATGTGTACATGCATGTGTACATGAAGCATGCGCTCACTGACGAACTCGTTCTAGTTCAATCATGGCATGCTTCCGAGACTTTTGCGCTGACGCCCTTTAAGACAGTAGCCGCCTTTCTAGTTGATGAAGCTCACTGGGTCCTTGAGACCAGTTTTTAGGTTTCAGAGACAATCAATCTCTGTATCAAAGTCTCTTATAGATGGTGCTGATAGCCTCTCCAACAGAGGCAATAATGACCTTGACTTTTTGCGTAACCTTACGATTTGACCATACTGAATAATGACAACTTTTGTGTTGATACTGATTCCGCGTGCTGGTTGAGACAGTATCAAGACTGCCGTAGAGCCTGGCAAGAGCCCGTAGAAACACAACAAGAAAACTGGCAAGCAGGAAGGCATCGGCGAAAAAGGCGTTCACTTCAACTTGCTCAGATCAGTCAAATTATTCAGATCAGGCTCAATCAGCCGTCTTCCACTATTCAGGAAGTATTGTTTTCTGTTGTGTTAGACCACTTTCAACTATTCTATTTTTGCATCCTTTATCTTGAAATGGCGCAGCTCTGTGGTTTTTTGTCGATATAAAGCGAATGCCGAATTCTCCTGTTCATTCACACTGATTCCTGAACGCTTATTTAGTTGAAATTAAGCATTGGCTAGGCAAGTACAAACCAAATTTATACGAATAGAAGGTGCAAACTGTCCACTCCGAGCAACTGTTCCTCCTATTTTGCTTAAAACTGAATGGTCGACTGTGCTGAGCCTTCAACTAACATGCGGCAGACATCTCCACAACACGACAAGTTCTAAGACAGCGACAGCATTCTGCTCGAATCCGCTGTATACTACTGACTGGAATGCATATTCTGCACATCTGACAGGACGACATTCGTTGGCGAGGTCAGGACTTTTAGGCGATCGGTAGGTTGTAATGACAAGGAGCCAACTTGCTATGGAGACATGCTACATGTTATCTTCAAGTGAAGTTTGGTTTTGCCTATGATTTTCGCTTTATCTCTTAATTTTATCAAACATTCTTTCAATTCATCGTAGGCAGTACAGCTATCCGTTCCCGCAAAAATATTAGCCCGCTGGTTGACATTCGCCTCAGCACAAGTCCGATCGTTTTGACATTATAATTTTTAGCCGGTTAGAAAAGTGATCCAAGAAAACCCATTCGATTGCATGGGAAAATATTATCAAAACCTAGTGTTGAAATAAGACAAGGAATGATAAAATTTAAAAGTGCTGGGAGTCTAATTCAATGTTCCTGTAACTTTTAATTCATTTTGGAAGACAGACGAAAGAGATTCATAAAGTGGGCAAAGTCAGGCTATATGAGATTACAGTCGACCTTTCTTTTCATAGTGCATGGTGGATTCCCGTATAGCCTGGTTTAATTTTCTGATGA